TTATATGAGCTGTGAGAACCCCCCAATAAAATGATCATTTAATTAAAAAATAAATAAAACATCAATTAGCATCCTCGAGGAGGTTGAACGGTGCTCCTTTTCAAAGCTCTTTGAGTTTGAGGAATAAGAAGAAGTCTGACAGGACGAGATCTGGAACAACATTCTCACAAGACAGCAGCTCGGGGAAGCTGAACATTTAGGACACCTTTAAATCTCCACCTCAACCAGCTTTGTTCTCATTCTTAGTCAATCACTCATTCATCGAAGCACCAAAACATCCCATCCATCTAACACGGTGCTCCTGCAAACACAAGCAAACGGTTGCATGAAATATTTTACCAAGTTAATATATGTCAATGTCGCCCATGAGGGGAGGTCAGAGGTGGCAAACAGGTTCCAACGGGTTCATTATCCTCATGCATCTGTGGCAGTCTGTGTCCCATTAGTCTCTGGTGTCTGTGATAACAAAGTGGCTGGTGGTTGAAATGGTTTAAAATAGCATGCCTTTATTGTGTCTCCCTTCTGGAGACTCTTGTTGTTGTTGTTGTTGTTCGTTGCCATGGCGTCACCTCTGACTCATGGGGACTTCGTGTATAATAGAACAAAACGTTGTCCTGGAGTCTGAATTCAGGTGTCCGCAGGGTCATGAAGGAGCCCCAGTGAGCGGCTACAAGCAAGGTCCGTAGGTTCAACCCCCCCAGCTGCTCACTGCAGGAGCCAGATGAGGCTAAGCGCACCCACGAAGATTTCGAGCTTGGGAAGCACACAGGGGCAGTTCTACTCTGCCCTACAGGGTCCCCATGAATCTGCATCGACTCCTGGACAGTGAGTTTGCTTTGAGGGATCGTTTCCCAGTGGAAGGGCTGTGGGAACGTTCCCCCCTGAGGAGCCCCTTGGCTCGCCTCCGTCTCCACATTGCTGGCTCCTCTCTCTCCGTGTGCCTTCTCTTCCAGAAGGCACCACTCCTGTTGGACGGTTGGTAGTAGGTGCCATCGAGTCATTTCTGGCCACAGCCCCCCTACATGCCACAGGGTAAGCCACGTTTGGTCTGTGCCAGACTTGCAGTGATGGCTGTGTTGGAGCTCCTTGTGGCAAACGCTGTGCCTTAAGGATCCTTTCTCTTCTTCTCTGACCCTCTACTTCCCCAAGCACCGAGTGGTCCCTCTGGACAGCGTGTCTGAAGGCCTCCAGACAAAGCCGTGCATCCTCAAGCGTGGGAGTACCCTGCTGTACTTCTTCCCAGCAGATGGATTTGACCTTCTGGCAAGTCAGTGTTCCCTGCCTGTACCGCCATTTAGATGTGTCCACACTCCCTTAGCCTTCCCTCTTCGCCTTCCAGCTTCAGGACACACAGGAGGTGTGTCAGTCTGGGTAGACTAGAGAAGCAAATCCATGGACACACGGATGTGTATAAGAAAGAGATTTATACACAGGAGGAATTGAACATTGAGAAAACATCCCAACCCAGTCCAGTCCAAGGCCATAAGTCTGATATTAGCCCATATGACTGATATCAATCTATAAAGTCCTCTTCAGACTCACAAAACACATGCAATGAAGCCAAATGCAGGATGATCACAAGCCAGTGGGTAGAAAGTCTTTGGGTCCTGTGGTGTTGTAAGCATCTCAGTGCTGGCAGGGGTCTCTCTGTGGCTTCTCCGGCTTCCGAGGTCTGGTTGTGGCTTGTCTTCTGCAATGTCTCCCAGGAAGTAGCAGGGAGAGGTGTCATCAGCCTCCAAGGAGGAAGTACCAGATTTCCCAGAATTCTCAAGAGAAGGCCATGCCCACAGAAGTCTCATTGGCTATCTCTAGATTGACAGCCTAGACTCCAGCCCTACACTCTTAATCCTTAAATTGACACCAGATTAGGTGACTACCACAGACAACCCCTTGTCAATTTAACACTTTCTCATAACTCTTTAGTCATATATAATTTTCAAACAGTAATAAAATCATATCTGTACCTAACAGGATAAAACTAAAATGCATACAATTCAATATGTGCCACCCTCATTTAAACATAATATCCTATAAGTGAACAAACAAAAATATCTATGCCTAACAATTGCAGTTAAGTAACACCTATCCCTTAGTCCTATAATCCTATGAATATATATTCCCCCACCTATAAAAGTTTGTAAGCCAACCACTTCATGCCTTTATCCCCCCAATTTTGAGTATCTAATTTCTATATTGCCCACTTACATCAACCCTGTGCTCTCAGGAGATAATCATACTCTTCAACGTGAAGAATCTTCATTCCAATTGGAACCTTGTGAAATCTGCATCCATTAGCAAAGTCAAATCAGGACAGGACATACATAAAGTCAACAGCAATATCCACCAGTTCACATGCTCAAAAATCTCTTCATCCGGTTGGGTTCTGGTCAACTCAATGTAGGCTGCCTCTCTTAGCCTCCCCAGGGCGTCATTGGTCGCCTTGCCTTAGACCATGGCCCCATCACAAATTCTCAACAACCCTAGCCCTCTTGGTCTAGGTCATGAACTTCAGACCAGTCAACCTGCTCTCTACTCTCCTCCAGTTCCTGTGACCCAAGTCCACGGGTGTCAGTGGCCAGACTCAACCCGTCTCTTTATTGCTGCATTTCTCCCACTTCCACTCAACAAGTAGATCCAGGTGGTCACCTAGCAAGCATCTCAGCCTGCCCACAGCCCACAGCATCTCAGCCTGCCCACATTCAGTCCCAGAGAGGAGTTTTCTTTATGGTTCCTGATTTTTTCCAGTTTCGTACAAAGACCACTAGAGTTCAAACTTCAAGTCCAAATCTTCAACCTGTCAAACTTGCCCCGAGGCAAGTCTCTTGGAATGCAAATGTCCTGAGAACTCCAAAGTACTAGGTGGGGCTTATCTTTTCAGAGACTTCTCTGCTGGTGTGTCCTAAACCCATCTAATGATCCAATTAATGGCTCCAGGCAAGTGGGCTTACAAGCTCAATTTTCATATTCCCTCCAAATCATTTGTATACACCCTTATATCTATAATAATAAGCAAAACAAATCAGTATAAACATAGAATCAGATACTAAACTCAATTCTTAAAACAGTCAAGTTCAATCCTTATTTCACTTATCTAAACTATTCTATTTATACAAAAATATGGGATTGGGTCTCTGAAGGCATCAAAACAGACCCATGCTTTGTCAGTCTGTTTGACCTTCTGTCAGCCACTTTCCTTTAGCAGCATGGTTTCTGAGACCTTCAAACGGCGATCTCTACCCCTGAGCTCAAAGTAATCAGATTCATTTTTGCCATTTCACACAGGAATAACCAAAATCAACAACCAAACAAAATAATCAAAGCTTTAACTTCCCATATTCTTTCTAGAAAACAACTCAGTAAACTGCAAGGATATATCTGACTTCTGGCTAGCCAAAGAAGAAACACTACTATGAGGCAGAAGTCAAGCAAACATCTACTTTCCATTTTTATTTGTTTCTCCAGTACCCCGCTCCCAAGGTACCATACTGTTATTTTGTGTGTTTGTGTATAAGAAAGAGATTTATATGTAAGAGGAATTGAACACTGAGAAAACATCCCAACCCAGTCCAGTCCAAGGTCCTAAGTCTGATATTAGCCCATATGTCTGATACCAATCTATAAAGTCCTCTTCAGACTCATGAAACACATGCAATGAAGCCAAAT